GTTTGTGTAGTGAGTCCAAGCATCCTCATACTCAGTTTGTGTAGTGAGTCCAAGCATCCCAATACTCAGTTTGTGTAGTGAGACCAAGCATCCCAATACTCAGTTTGTGTAGTGAGGCCAAGCATCCTCATACTCAGGTTTTGTAGTGAGTCCAAGCATCCTCATACTCAGTTTGTGTTGGGTTTATTTATGTTGATAAGATTCCCGCATTAATAAGTCCTAACATCATCATACTCTGTGAATGGTTTATGAGATTCATCAGATGTTAGACTTAACCGACTTTTATTTGGGGTACCACCAAAACGGGATAGCATCACCATTACTTTATTGACTGTTATACTTTATATTTGGTGCCCTGTTTGATCTTTTCTAGCAGTGAAAGTTTTGGTAATCCATCAAACACCACATGTTAATGTTTTCTGGAATGATTATTAGACAGCTAAATTGATCTAAAAATTACTTTGTGAAATATTTTGTGAAAATCTAGTTTTGGAGTCATGTTCAAATGAATGCTCTTTTTTTTGTAGAGTGCTCCACTGGTGTTCCGTCCTTCTGTCGAACATCCAGCAGTACCTGGGTATCAAACACACCCCAAGAGCCACTGCGTAAAATGCCACATCTATCCCAGGATTCCATGCCAGTGTTGTCTCATGATAGAATGCTGTCACAGGGGAGTATGGCTTTGCTCCCACAAGATGAAGTACCGGGTACCAGTGGGTATATGTCTACAAATCAATCTACTATGCTGACATTGACAGATCCATACACATGTAATATGACACAAGAGAGTCTGGTGGCTGCTCAGCCCTCCCAGGATGCACCTGGAACATCCTGGAATGACTCCAACAATCTAGCCAATCAGTATTTCAATCAGTAATGAATCCATAATGAATCTGGATTCCATTACATCAGTCAGTTTCACTAGATCTCATTTTCCCCAGATCTCATTTTCCCCATCCCATAATGTTCAACCAAATAATGAGGATATTATGATGAATTACAGGGTGTAAGGTAAGATGGTTATATATGTGGAGACAGTTTCTTGTAAAAAACATGTAAAAGTTTACAGAAAATAAATTAAAATGTGTAATATACACTAGGAATATTACAAGATCAATAATTTATGATTCATAAGTTTGTATAATTCTAGCTTGTGGAATCTCAAAGCAGAGGGGATGCGTTTGAGCCTGAGTTAAATTCCAAGCTCTAATAATTGTGAAATAATGAGTCAGTCCCCTACCAATTCCAAATTAGAACTGCCAGACATTACTGATTCTTAAAGATTCATCTTGGTAGGTGAACCTACATGTAGTCCCCCAGAGACTGTGGATAAGTTGAAGCTTTAGATCTCATCATTTTGCCCACACTTCTGAACAAAAATTGTTTTTCTGAAGCAGATAATCACTTTGCAGGGTCCTCCATAGTTATCAAAATTTTTCCTATGATAATGCAAAATTTTTCTCAATGTTTGATGTTTGGAATTGGTTCTAGAACCTCAGCTGGAGTTTGGAGATATCTGTGTTATGTTCACAGCTCAATGCATTTAATGCTTTAGTTAAATGAGCAATATTTGGGGAAGAATCAATGTCTCATCATTGGTAAATTTAACCATCCCTAGGAACATGTATACTGAGCAAATGAAACATAAATACTAGCTGAAAAACAATACAGGCGATTCACAATGCAGGGCACCACCTACAGGTTGTCATGGAGAGGCCTTTTCACAGTACATGGTGGGATAAAGTCTCGTTAAAAAAGTCTCATCCACTATCTGCTCTGTGTGCGGAAAACTGTGTGCGGAATGATTACCTTGGTTGAAAATTCGAAATTGCTTATTGCAAATGGGTGTGAGGTAGTCACAATGGTTTGTAGTGCAGGGAAAGCCTCAGTCAATCAAATATCCCCAAATTACATTTGAAATGCACTTAATCGTAGCAGCGTGTTAAGCATAAACTTGAAAAGTTGCCTGTCTGCAGCAAACTCTTGGTGGCGCACTGTATCATGAATTGGCCGTATTGTATCAAAGCCTTTAAGTTGATTCCGTAAAGTAGTTTATTCGAAGAATAATCATTATATGATTGAACAATTTATTTGATTAAATGGCCATCTTGGAGCTTGCCACTAACTATAGACTAACTATAGTAAATGGAAAGTCGTGGAATTCTTCAGGAATTTGTTAACGATATCAGAGGTCAAGATGTAAAAACTAAAAAGAAAACAGATGCTGTTACTAAATAGTTGGTGCTTTATGAACTTTATTACATTTTACCTGGAATTTTTGCATAATTAGAATGGTTTGTCAGATATAATAGGGACTTCATTATGGGTTATAAATAAAGTGAATATATACCAGAGTAGCATTATTTTATTGTATATTTCTGTCTCACCGCTTGTAGTGCATCCACATTCGGATTTGAAATCAATTAACAATGAAACTGTTCAGTACAGTGGCTTTGATGAAGTTTTCTTCTTTGTGTACTATATTTGTGCTTGAAAACTCGTAAGGGGTATCTGTTGTGTTCATGTATATCTGTAAATATCTAGTCAAATGAATTTGAACAAAACACCACGCTTGGAGGAATGGTTTGGAACAATTCTGGATTGTGCCTTTCCAGAGAAATATTTGTTTTTGTCAATAGATGCTTTGCCTTTTTGTTTTGTAGAATTCCAGTCAATGACAAACATATTTATGTCAAAAATGAAACATCCCCATGTTGTGATATTTTGTTACTATGTAATGCTACTCCACTTAGTGTTAAGAATTAAGTGTAATTCTAAAACATTTTCTCAAGTTACAGGTTTACATTTTAGCACTGAGGCACTTTAATTAAGTTATATGTCAGATTTAATTTCAATTAAAAAGTCATGTTTTGGTTGCAGTCATAAAAGGTTACTTACGTACATTTTATTGTAAGCCAAGCACAGCAGGTTAAAGAATCAATAACAGATGCTGGATATAGAATTAACATTGTAAAAATCTTGTCGTCAACCTTCGCAAGGTTCTTAAGGTTAACAAATTTGTTCGGGAAATTATTAATCTTTGTACCACTTCAGAAAAAAAGCACACACACTTTACTCGTACTTCATGTTAGTATTTGTACAAATGATCTGGGATTCTTTTATAATTTATGGACTGGTATTAAGAGGCTTGTCTGGAGCACAATTGACCCAATTGTAATTGTCAGTATATGTACACGTATTAAACAATGATTTAGCATCATGTTAAATTTTTTTCCAATAAGTCTAACAAGAACTTCTGTAATATACTTTAATGACTTTAGTGTGGAAAAGACTTTAATAAATAGAGAGAAATGTAATAAAGACTTTTAAATAAGATTTGAAGGTTTGCATTGTGAAGATAGTAATAGTAACTTGATTTGACAGAGTAAGCTGTTTGAAACGTTGAGCCCCCCCTTCTCATCAGAAGCACATAGGCAATGAAATGCACCCGATTTTTCTGTCATGCATCTCGTGGCACCCACCTTGGAACTAGATGAAAATTCAAAATGTGCATGGTTTGAACTATGGAAAATTCTTTAGTTGATGTCTCTCGAAGGCATCAGAATGAGCAGATCGATCCAGGATGTCAGTGTAACAGTCACCAATTTCATTGACCACTTCTCAAGCTCCACTTCTAAATTGGTGGATATACGTTCAAATTAATGTTGTTGCCACAGCAGAATGTCAGGAACAGGTGATGGGGGCAGAAAAGGCAGGAAAGGATTGTACAGAGACCAGCAGCTATGCATGAGACAATAAAGTGCCTCAATTTAAAAATGTTCACCACTCAGTACAAGAAGAAAACCAAGAGCAAGACTGGAAGTGAGATCTCCGATTGCAAATTATTCACAAGCATGATTGTTTTGGGACAGCAAATGAAACTTGACCTCAAAAGCATTCTATCCTACAGCTTTGGACTAGTCTCATGTCCGCTAGTTTGCTCTTATGGAACCTTGGCCAAGATGAATCAGGCTAAACTAATCAACCTGATTGAAAAATAATGGCCCGACATCCATGGTAAAGTACCAAATGGTGCAGTTCTAATCTTTGATGGCATGGCATGGCATTTATTCACGGTTTCCCAGTCTCCCAACTTCCAGAACTATGGGAGAATTTGCCTTAGTACTTCTTGCTCATATAAGCAGCTTTATAATGAGAAGACTATCCACCAGGGTTGATGTTGTATTTGATCAGCATTCAGAGACTTCAATAAAGGCTGTGGAACAACATGGACGAATGGGAGAACGAATGGAAATCCGGTAACGAATATGTAAGCTAGAACAGAACACACCAAACGGTGGAAAGATTTCTTGACTGTTGGCCAAAATAAAGACTTGGTCGAGTTCCTGTTCATGCAGTGGTAGGCTGAAGCAGCAGAATGTGGTTGTATCGAGTTTATGATGGCACATGGCAACAAATGTCACACCCACACTGAAGGGACAGGAAAGAACTACCAGAATTACATTCAGATCATCTTCATTCATAGGGTTACATGTCTTCACAGGTGCCGATTCAACCAGTGCATTTTTGAAAAAGGGAAGGCCAGGTCTTTTCAACTTCTTGAATCAAGCACTGCATATCAAGATGTTTTTCTTCAACTTGGATTAACCCGACATGAAAAGTGGCTGAAGGTTTGGAGTGCTTTGTTTGTGAGCTGTACAGTACAAGTCTTTCTTCAGTTAATGAGGCCAGATACAGCCTTTTCTGCTCAGGCGGCATTCTGTGATCAAAGATTGCCCCCAACGCACAATGTGCAACACTCAAAAAGGGGCCCACTATCAGGTTGTAGTGAATGGGAAGGCACTCACTCCAGTTATTCATGCACCAAGCACAAATGATCACAATCGGATTGAAACTGGATGACTCAAGATTATGCTCCTTCAGAGTTGTTGAAAATTGCATCCTGCAGATGCAAAAAGACCAAGTGTGGAACTGAACAGTGTTCTTGTCGCTCTTGTAATGTCTGAGCTCTGTTCTTGTGAGGGCTGCGAAAATGTGGCCAACACTGACATGGAATTGCAAACCATGTACATGTATTATTACAGTGAGAGTGACTTGTCAGACGTTGATGATTAGAGCTTGGATTTCAATAGTGAAGACATTTTCACCTCTGACCACAATTTTACATGTACATGTACCAGTTTTCAGATTCTATATTTGTCTACAAGTTTATTCACAGGTATTAACATTACATGTAAATACGTCCCTGACAAGATCTAAGAAGTTGTTATCTGTAAATGAAGCCTTCAAGGTCCTAACATGTATAATGTTATGTATTTTCGTACTGGAGCCAATTGTCCCGTGAAATATAGTATGTTATAAAGTGGACAGGTGAAATTTGAGTCTGCTCTGACACTGCTAACTCCTTCTTGTTGTATCCATACAAAATATATTTGAAACGTGGTAACTTGTGATGAAACTCAAATTGATTCCATCTTTGCTCATTTTAATATGTTTAACCTGTATTTCACAACCCGAATCCTTACGTTTTTAATACACCAGGATTTAATTTACTGTCGTTCAGGCTTATGTACTAAGCTTTTGTAGTCAACTGCACTTCTGGTTTCTTAAAGAACCTGTGAAACTGTTTTAAATACAATAATCGTATAAAGTAAGAGGATGAAATTTTAGTCTAAATAGGTCATGCAGAAGAGTCATTGTTGTTCATCGCCATGCAAAATGTAACTGGTACATGTACATCCATTGCTTTTAATATCTGTGAAATTCAGGTGAAGTCCATAAACTTCACAACAGCATTCATAGATTTTCTTTTATGTTCATGTAAGTGTACCAGGGGCAGATCCACAGGGGATGTGGGGGCACACGTACCCCCCCTTCTCCAAAACAATTACTAAAAACTTAAACTAACTAAAAAGAGGAAAAATGGGGAGGGAGAAGATAAAAGCGGGGTTCATACTATACTACGGGGTTCATGTATACTGCCTGAAATTGCACTGCTGCAGAGCACCTCAGCCCACAATTTCCGGAGGGGCCGGCATGCTGTTAGGGTTTCGTGCTTGCAGGTGTTTCACCATTGCTGCCTTAGATCATGCCCCCTTTCAGGAAATCCTGCACCAGGCCCCCAGCCATTCAAAAAATCCTGGATCCGTCCCTGTGCACTCGAGATGCAGTCAACTCTTCGTTTGGTCATTAAAACCAGAGATCTCACAAATCTATGTAAAGCTTTAAAATTGTATGATGACATTATCCATACAAAAGGCAACCGGTACATGCATGTATTAATTTGTTTGAAATTCAGGTCAAGTCCGTCATTGAACGTACAGTAACTGTACTTCCAAAAATGATCCTTAACACTTTTCTAACATGCCCAGTTGCAATATGCTTTCTCTTATGCTCATTAATGTGTCAAGGTTTTGCATTCTAATCGCAATTTGCATGAAAGTACAGAATTTTAACTCGTTAAACAGTGTGAAATACAGTGTAATGTTATAAGGGTGCACCGTTAATTTTGATCCTGCTTTGATGAAACTTGGAGGATAAAACAAGTCTATTGATAAGAATTTTAATTTAGGAATTAATGCAAGGTATACAAACCATTGCATTGATTCATAAAATCATTATTAAAGTTGTTTGACACACCGTGGTACAATATCTTTTCCTTTTACATTTAGGTGCCCAATGTTAACAGTCAAATTTAAATTTGGTTACACAAACCATGACAACATGACTTGATTTTGTTTACTTCAGATGCCCGTTGTCTTAAGTGCAAACATGACAAATGTGAAGACTTTTTAAAATCTATCACATTCTTTGTATTTTTCTTTAAAGCAAGCAGATTTGATATAATAGGATGGTTGGAAATAAAAACTTTATATTACAGAAACATATCCATAAACTGTAAGTTTTGCAATTAGGCCTACATGTTTGTTGCCAGTTATTTTCCTAAATGAAGTTTTAGTGTGGTTCCAGGACATAAAGACTCCCAGACAACTCTTTATACAATCGAAGGGCAATAGTCAGATACATCAGGTCGGGTAACCAGAGTAGCATTGTTTTGACTGGTGTATACAATATGCGTAATGATGCATGCAGAAACTGGCATATTCTCAAGGCAAATTTCACCCTTTTGTACCCTTTTGTCGCAATGATAACATTCACCACTGGACTCCCCTCATTTAAAATTAAAAATTAATCTGTAAGCTAGTTTTGTGTAGTTCCAAGTCGGGTGCCACAAAAACCATTTTCTGAGTGGAATTTTGGGCGCGTTTCACGGCCAAACACCTGCTCATGGAAGAGATAGGTAACATGGTGTCTCTGCAAACCACATTACCGGTATCAATGGGCTTGTTACATGTACATGTACCAGGGTACATTGCTCATATACATGTACATGTATGAAGACAAAAGCTACCCGGACAAACACTGTTCATCACAAATTGGTCCTAAAATTCCCAACAAAAGAACTCCTCCCCATAAGTTTAACACATGTTTAAGTGTATATGTACTCAAGTTAGGAAGTTTTTTTATCAAAGCAAATGCTTTTGTTGGAAAGTGTTGCCCTTTCATAAACATGTTTTCTATTCCAAAGAATTGGGCAAAATAAAAAATCCAAAGACCTTTTTCATTATTGCTCATCTGAAGGCTTTCTGAAGTTAAAGTTTGCTGCGTGTTGTATCTTTCACCACTGCAATTTTCTCAAGGGCTGCTCTGAAATTATCTGGTAATGGTACAGGTTTGTTTGAATCAGTATCCACAAAAACATGCACACACTGCCCAACAGCACAAGCAGTGGATGAGTGTTTTGTCAATATCACTTGATCTGTCTGAGAACTTATACCACACTTGCTGAGATGTGGATGATCATCTGATGCTTGCTCAGAGAGTTCTGGGAAAATAGCAACAGTGTAATGCACACTGGATCGGCCAATATGGGAAATGTACAGTCCTGCTAGAACAACCTCGGGGAAGCTTATTGGGGTCCTGTAGATACACTTTGTGTCAACCATATAGCCCACTATGTTGGACGTTTTGAGATCTGTATTCAGACCACAACATTTGATGAGATAATGGTTGATGATGGTGTCAAAATAGGAATAGTAAATCACATTGTTGACATGTCCATACTGATCATTGTCGGACCATCTCGTCTGTATGGCTAAGAAATGTTTGTAGTGGTCACGTTGCCAGGGCAACTCATCTTTCTTTGACACTGCATGGCATTTTCTCTGAGTAATACCACAGGTAACACAGAGGATAGATGGGTATTGTTTGAACCCTGTAATCAGGTGATGTTTCAAGACTTTCAGCATGTTGATGGGCAGAATGTAAGCTGTGTCACGCCAGTAGAAAACTGGATATCTGCAGGAATAGAAAAATATATTTAAAACATAAGTTCAGGATGCCCAGCATACACTTTTGAAATATGCGTGTGATTGACTTTACATTTTTTTTATCCTGAATAGCCAGTCAGTGTCATTTTTGTATCCTACACAACCAAGGGCAAGTGAAGGAACGTGCACGAAGCCATGGAGTCAAAGTTGGGTGCTTCCTATTTTCTGTTCATGCACACATATACCCGTTGAACAGCCAGGATGAAGTTGCACAACAGTCTGGTAGAATCTTGCATGGCACTGGTTGAAAGTTGTGTTCGATTGTGGGTGTAAAGTAAATGTACTTGCTGCTGCTGGCAGGCCGGTCGACAGTCCAATACGAACAGTCACATAATCATGGGGGCTAAGTTTAAAAGACTTGGGAACATTCACTTTTTGGGGGGTGAGTTTGTTTTGGGTGGATAATTAAAAAATTCATTGGTTATCCCACTAAAAATTGAAAATCAAATCTGAAGGACCAAACAACACACTGTTTTATGTTTGAGAGGCCTCAGGGACTTCAGTTGCCTGCCCTGGGGCTCCAAACTTTGTTGATTTTATACTATTTTTAAAGGAGCTTGAATTGATTCAGTGCATGTGTACCTTCACATGAATACAAACAGGAATCAGGGGAGCAGACAAGTAGTGCATTAATTTTGGATTTTTTTTTTTGCCCAGCCCGACGTGTATTTTAACACTGTATGCTCAGTGTATGCCCCCGAACGCTTGTGAAAAAAAAAACACAAGCATACTCGGGCGGGACTCGAACCCACGACCCCCTGCTTGCTACTAGTGCAGATGTCTTAACAACTCAACCACCGAGCTTGCCGGTGTCAGCTGACTGGTTCAAATCAGATGTAGCAGCGGGTACCGCAAACAAATATTTCAAGGATGGATTTGTGCCGGGAAGAAGCACTGAGCATACAGTGTTAAAATACACGTCACGCAGGGAAAAAAAATCCAATATTAATTTACAAATCCATCCTTGAACTGTTGAAACAGACGTGACAGATCACACGATCATTCTTCAACTTCAAATGTGATAGGGCCTATATCATGTATCACACTTAGGGCCTAGGCCTAATTTATGCTAGGCCCTAGGCGCCTAGGGCCTAAAATAGGCCTACAAGTACAACTTACAAGTACGTAGTGCTGATTTCCCACGAGCAAATGACGAGAACTTAGAAGCGATGCATATTCCCAGCAAAACAACTTTCACGCAATGAATCACCTACATGTATCTTTGTAGATTAAGTGGGTCCAACTTCATGCAGTTAACCAAAACGGGGCTACCGCTTATCAAAAGTTAAGCGTCGACACGGCGCCAGCACGCATGCATGCCAACACGATCAAGACCAATGATTGTGTA